CTAACCCACTGCACCACCAGGGATTCTTGATAACCCACTAGAAAGGAAGAAATCATTGTGACTCCCACAAGCCAGCCTTCCTCAAGGCCTCACGTCACCTACAGGCTTGGTCAGTCAATGTGGCTCATGAGGACCAATGTGATCTTTTTCTGTACTTGAATGTAGTTTTCTGGGGAATTCTGATATCGTGCTCCAGGGAAAGAAGAAAGGGGCTTCTGAAAGGAGGAAGCCGTCTGTTGAGTGAGGAAGGTTATTCTATGAGAATTTTGTTGGGAAATCTTAGCTCATCCTGATCTTGCCCGATTTTTTTGTTCCCCAAACTCCTAGAACATTGAAAAAGAACGTGATTTGAGTCTCTTTGGCAAAAGAATGATGAAGATAGGTGAAGACACAGGAAGGAATGCAAAAGTTAAAGGGAATAGAAGTAAATACTGTTATATACATAACCCTGCAACAAGAGTATTCTACAGGTAGATACATGGACAGATACACAGGCTGAACAGGTATGAGAGGGAGAATGGGAGTATACCCACAAGTATATAAGGGTTTAACAGAGGATATTTGTACATGGGTATTTACCTTTGCAGCAAACACACCTATGAATTTAAGGGAGCAAGTTGGTAAGTGTGATCAAGTTGGTTCTGATTCATAGTGATCCTGTATAGGGTTTCTGAGAACGGCTAGTGAGTTTGAACTGTGGACCAGTCCAGTGCTTATCACACAGTACCACACCAGCACTTAGTAGTGGAGCATGCATGGGGGAAAATGAGGAAAAGTTCTTCGACATTATCAAACACACCTTGAGAAAATTAGTTGCTGGACCTGGGGCTGCAGGGGACACCATCGTCTATTGGCATAACATAGTGTACAAAGACAATGTTCTACATCCTACTTGGGTAAGTAGTGACTCGGATCTTAAAAGCTCATGAGCAGCCATCTAAGGTATAACTATTGGTCTCTCCATGTACAGAAGAAAGAAGAGTGATGAAAATTTAGGAGTTTGGGGATTAATTAGTCCAGTGAACTAATGGGTCATGTAAATGTCAGTTTCTATAACTCTGAGACCAGAAAAGCTGAAAAGGATCACATTAGAAGGCCCCCAATAGAGTGGGAGACAATGTTGAACAAAACTCAAACTTATAAAAAGACTGAAGGAAGCTGAGACTATGGCCCTCAGCCACTCTCCAGGTCTGAAATGGAATTCAGCCTCATGGTCCAATTGTCAACCAAGCATTGGATAGGTATATAGGGTGGACAGCAACACTAGTGAAGTATGCTCAACCATTCAAGATCAAAAGGGCAACATTTACTTGGGGACAAGGTTCAGAAGTGTTGGGAAGGAAAGTGGAATGGAAACAGGAAGCACAGGGAGGAAGTGAGACAACTGTTGTTACATGGAAGGGGTTGCAATCATTGAGATGAAATAAAGTGTATGATTTGTTGGATGTAAAACTGTTGATCTGCTCTGTAAACCTTCACTCAATTCACAATAAAAAGTTTCCC